TTTTTTCTGGGGAATTATTTTCTATGGGATTTTTTTTCCGGGGAATTATATTCCAAGTTCTGGGGATTTTTTTTCCGGAGAATTATTTACTTGAGAATTATTTTCCGAGGAATTTAATCTTCCGGGGAATTTTTTTCCAGGGAATTTATTTTCCGGGATTTTTTTTCCGGGGAATTATTTTCCTAGATTCATATTTTAGATAAGCAATAATGGTCAACTGTGTAATCATTTATATATCATTAAAAATGGAAAATAATCTTTTAGAAATTGAATATCTCACAAAAATTTTCTTGATTACTTATCTAGCTTTCATCATGTCGTTTAAGAGGAAGCTCTAGCCACCATATTGTTATATGATATTGATTGGTCATTTGTACCCTCTTCTTCAAGAATTGTTGATTTGGCTTAGGCCTATAAATTTTACCTATTAGTTCATTCTATAAAACATTGTTTAAAATGGTAACAGAAGTTATATTAGTTTAAACCTTTTATCAATGTAAGTTGCTAAGAATTATATTATTACTTTATGTGGTTTTTAAAAACTATTATCATCGAGGCATATATGAATAAATTAACCTTTTTTATCACTTGTAATTCTTTAGACTCAAATTTTTTTAAATCAGCAATCGAAAATATTTTATAATGTAATAGATTTTGTAATAAAAAATACTATTTTTAGATATGCCTTGAATTGTTTTAATTATTTATATATTAGTTTATTTTGTATGCATAATATAATAAAAGACTAAATTTGGAATTAAGAATAATTGTTCGGAGTTAACAAATTTAAAAAATGTATAATATAAAGCGGGAAAATAGGGGATATGGGGGGGGGCATAGCCCGCATAAAATTTTTTTTAGTTGAGCCCCCTGAAATTGTAGAGGCTAGCGACGCCCCTGTCCTGAGATATGGCATCTTTAAATAGGGTAAATTTGAAAATACATTATTTAATTTTAAATATCTCAAAAAATAATTAGGCTAAAAACATAATTTATTAAATAGCCTTCTAATAACGATATAATATAAAATTTATTTAATAGATAATAATATTAGGAAATAGTTAGAAAAAGAAAATTGCATTTTTCTTTCTATTTTTTTAGACATTATACGTCCTTATATTTGTGCAAATCCTAGAATCAATGATAAATTAAAAATATGTAGTAATTTTCTCGAGATAACATTATATTTGCTATTTCCTTTAAAAGGAGATTAAGTCTATGAGATGCAGTCCAATTGCATTTGATAATTGGTTATTTATTTCTCACAAGTGTCCAGGCTTTCTTTATTCGCATCTTTATTATGATTTTAATTATGTGTTCCTATTTTTTCAATTAGTTTTATAAATTCACTAGATATATATTTCCCATATGTATATTGGCCCCTGTTCTAATTAATTTATAAAAAATGGGACTTGGGATTGCTATAATAAAATTTATAAAATATTCCACTTTAATAAGGGTTAAATTATCTTTCGGTTATTATATAGTTAATCCTTTTATATTCATTGTTTAACAAATTTTCAGTAAATATCTTGAGAGCATTTAAAATTCTATTTTTAAAGTTATCTTCTTTTTTTAAGAAATTCAATTTTATTAAATTTAAAATAGGATATATAAACTCAATAATTAAAAATATATATTTAAAAACAAATAAGCATATATTAAAAATAATTTAAAAAAAATATATATATGTATAATCTATTAACATAAAAGAGAACTAAGAGAAAAAAAAATTATTTAAAAAAGAGGTACATATCACCCTAGAGAAGAGTGAATGCTTAAAAAAGACCGGCAGATTTCAGATAAAATCCTTCATTGGGGTCCCCTGAGATCTGTCTCATTTTTTTTTCCTATGGTTTTAATGAAATTGAGAGCATCACTTCCGAACATGCCTAGTTTATTGGTAATTTCCAAATACAAGTTGTAATATGGGAAATCGTAAATTTAACATATTTTATTAAATTATTTTTTCAGAAATAAAAATTAATATTAGTTGAATTAGAAAAAAAGTTGATCTACCCTATATCTCTTTAGCCTTTAATCCTACTCCTTTTCCTTATAGTAATTAAATTATATATATTTAAGTCAACAAAAAAATTTTCTTCCAATGAACTATTAGAAGAGCACTATTATTATATTATCGAAAATCATTGTACATACAAAAACAAAATATAGTTATGATATATAAACCAAGAAAAAACATTTTTTAAAAAATGATAAAAATCCTGATTACTTGATTAAAAAAGCATATAAAAATCTGGAAAACTATAGGGGAAATTTCCCCCTAATTATTTGATCAAAAAAAACGTAGAAACTATAGGATAAATTTCTAAGTTAGGGAAATTTTCCCTATATTATCCATAATTTGATAATATACACTCAGCGTCTGCATGAAGGAGGGGGGGGGCTAAGAACAGTTTGCATCCAATTTTTCTTGAAGTGGGGAGGGTAACAACTAGGCGCCTTTAAGGGGGTATAAATTTAATTTTTAGATGAAATTTTACAAAATATATTCCTGTAAAAATTAATACTTTTATTATAGACCATTATAATACAATGATATTGGTGATCATGGACCAAATCTATATATTGCAAACAATCATAGACATTCAAATATAACTTTCTGCTATCCTTTTAAATAACATTTAAAGGGATTAGACATTCTCAGCAAACTCATAATGCCAAATAATATCCTATGAGGGGGGTTTTAATTGAATTCATAACTTAAAAATAGCCACTTTTTTATATTCACAATATTTTGTTAGTTGGTAGTAGAGCTAAAATAATTTTATTCTTTATAAATTTATGAAGGGAGTAAGTGTAATTCATAATGTGAAAACATCGTCGCCGAAGGTGGCAAAATTTTGTAGGTGGGTAGGCATAGGTTTTTGAGGGGAATTTGCATCGTGAATCCTGTCATGTATACGCTTATAACTAATAAAAAAATAAAACTTTACCTCCAAACATTGCCTACCCGCTAAGTATGGGAGTTAAAAGCAGGGGAAAATGGTAGATTTTTAATAAAATGTACCTTCAAATATCTTGAGAAATAATTATGTTAGAGCATAATTTAACTTTTATTATATAGTTTAATAATTTCTCTTTAATATGACATATCAATAAATATGATTAATAACAATGACTAGTAAAGTCGGAAATTTTCATAGAAAAAAAGGGTAATAGCTCTAGGAGGTATGACCCTTTATATGGCTAAATTGATCAAATTTAGCATAAATTTCATATTAAAATTTAATGAGTACATGCAATGATTTTTATTTAAAAATTATTTTAAATGATAGATTTAACATTTGATTCCCGAAATTACGTTGCAAAATAATTCTAAACATATTTTTTAACTTTATTTGGCCCAATAATTTCTATAACATATAATACAATTACAAATTATAATTAAAATATATTAAATCACCCGAAGAATTTGAATAAATTTTGACTTCATGCCACTCTGCCTTTATTCAAAAATCATTTTCATGATTGTAAAGATTAATAGGGTAACTTTTCCATCAAAAGAATAATAAATTTTGGTCACTCTGCCAATCTTGCTTTCATGAATAAGATCAATTTTGTTTGAAATAAATGTGTTGTGCTTTAAACAATCTGATATACCCACAAAATTTACATGTTTTGTAGAAATTAATTAATTATAAATAATTCTTTCATATTGGCGATAAAAGTTAATTTAATTTTGTGTTATATTCAAAATTTATTATATAAAATGAAATAATAAATCAGAATGTTATAATTTCCATTTTTTAATTTAATTGTGTCCAATACAAGAACTACACATTATTGATCATGTATGAAAATTACTATATAAAGATAAATTAAGCAATTATAAATGATATTTGTTGAAATTTAATTTTGGTAGATTATTTTGTCAAGTAAAAACGAAATAAAATTTAACCAAAGTGTAAATAAAGCACATTATCCCACCCACCACAACATTTAAAAAAAAAATAAAACTATCATTTAGACATATTTTTAAATAAAAATGATTACATAATTCATTAAATTTAAATATGATATTTATGTTAAATTTCATCAATTTTCGCTATATAAAGTGTAATAACTCCTACACATGTTCGTCTTCGTCTAGGTTTAGACAAATATAAAGCAGTCAGATATCTATCAAGAGAAAAAAAATACCTTATTCAATTTTATATATCTGGTCTAAGATATCAATAGGATCTCTGTCATATCTATTTATGTGTCAAATTAATGAGATATTATTATGCAATATAATAAAATATAAATAATTGCTCTAACATAATTATTTCCCGAGATATTTGAAAATAAATGAGGTGCATTTTGTAAAAAATACCATTTTTCCCAACCTACATATCATAGTGAGTAAGCACTGCTTGGAGGTATTATTTGATTTTTTTTTCAATATACAAAATTTTAAAAAAAAAATTGAGGGGGTTAGGGTTGAAAATCGTCTTTAATAGTTGATTTAACATGGAATTCACCATATATAGTTCAACTCTCTTATAATGCTTTTTATTAAACATAATTATTTAACCACTAAAATATAAGAAAATAACTATTTATCGACCCTTTCTCCCCATTTTTATTTGACGACCCGAAATATTGTTCTTCTGACTAGGTTCGTAAACTATTGGGTAAACAAATCTGTAATGGTTAATAAATGGTCTACTATCAATGAATACTTCCCTACTAATAAAAAAATATATAAATATTCATCATATTTAAGGAATAATTGATTAAAGACAATAAAGATGGGGCTCGTTAATTTTTATAAAGATCTTCAAGTTCTGCAAAATATTTACAGTTAATGTTAGCCCGTAAAAACATTTTTTAAAAGTCCAGCCACGGATCATATGTCAGGATTTGAACTATACAGATCTCCATAATGAATAATAAAATATTTTAAAAATATTTATAATAATTAAAACAAGTTATTATAAGGAAAAAACATTAAAATTTTATTAGACTATTCTAACAATATAAATTTCAATCAGAGAAACAAAAATCATTATAAAAATTTGTAGAAAAATAATTTATAATACATTATTTTATGAACTTTAAATATATTTTAAAAAAATTGGACATTATTAAAATTAAAAAAAAATTGATATATAAAAGTGATGATTTATATAATTTTGTGAAAAAAAATACCCAATTATATATATTTGGCATTCCAAAAAAATAAAAATCATTAATATTGTACGAAAGGACTTATCATATTGTAAAATAATATAGATTTGATAAAATCTCTCAAACATTCTCTATATATATATTATAATTAGGCACAATCAAACATCAAACTTTATACTAAATAATTAAAAAATGCGGTGAATATAGATAAAATATAAAATTGAATTGGCTTATTATATATGATCTATAAAAAAAATATTTTAAGGATCATTTTTGAATAAGAATGCTAAGTCTGATTGATTGGCTTTATTTCCGTTCATATTATTCATTTTCATTCATAAATTTACAGTTTTTCGATTCAATATACTTGATATATTTTATCAATTTTTTTTAAAATATTTTCGAAATGAGCAACGCGAAATTTAACCCGCAAAATATGCCTAGAATCAAAAATAGCGCGGCCATCATTCCCGCCAATGGCGCCATACGGGATTCGACTAAGCTATTTCATAAATAAAAATGTTTATAAGGATTAAAAGTAAATACAGTGGAATCTCCATATAGTGGTGACCTGATGAGTAATTAGGATCCCTTTATAGGGGTATTAGAATTAAAGTAGTTTTTTTTAAATAAAAGTTTAAAATCAAAAAAAGAAAACCGGCCCAGCTATTTAAAAAAATATATAATTGTTTTTTAAAATTTTATCTCTTATTTTTTTTCTGACTTTTTGCGATCTCTGCTTTAATTTATATTTTAATCTCTATTTGTCATATTTTTTCAATGATATTTCTTTTCATGTTATATTATTCCTTTTTAAAATAATTTCTTCATTTTCAATGTCATCTTATTTCATAACAATTGTAGAATTGAATTGCATTTCATTATGTTAGTGCAATTAAAGGAATCGAGATGCGAAGACATATTGTAAGGTTTTAAGGCTGTGTAGATTTAAAGAATGTGTTTTTTATAATTTCAAAGTTTTAATAATGAAGAGGATTTGATAAATTTAATAGAACAAGGAAAGAGAAGAATAACCGAAGATATTGCCAAAAATAATTTTAAAAATATGAATATCTATATTCTAAAATATAGACGAAAGCAATATTAATGATTAATAAAAAAAAGATATAATAGCCAAAAGAAAAATAAATATGAGGAGAAAAGAAATAATAAAAAAAATTGTTATAAAAAAGGAAAAAATAGTGGGTTATAAATAATTATAGACTTGAAAGTTGACAAAAATAGACTAAAAATGACAAGAGAGGTAGCCAAAAATTTGAAAAGAAATAAGAAGAAAAATAACTAATTTTTTAAAATATACAAACAATTTTCCTATTTTAAAAATGAGATTTGTTCAAGCGATGCAGTTATTTAACGCTATAGAAATAACACTGATCCTTAACAGTAATAATAATAATTGTAATATAGGTCGAAACATAAGTTTTTCAAATTTTGTCATAGCGTTTTCTTCGTCTCGCCTCTATATTTATATAATCAGACTCTTTCCTTTAAAATTGCTAATAATATAAATTTTTGTTCTTAGTAGGATTTATTTAAGCCTTTCTGATATTAGGATCAATAATAATGAACGAGTGATCTACTCCCTTTTGATCTCTATAGTCATTTCAGGTTATTCCCTTTTACTTTATTATATCACAAGAAGAGGAACATCATAAATTTCCCTCCTAACAATTATTTTTAATTTTATATATTAAAGCATATTTTTAAGTCAAAATACAAATTATTAACCGAATTTTCTTTTTAGGGCCTGTGAAAATGATTAAATCCATAATGAAAAAGAGTGTCCACTTGTCCCAAATACACTTTGTAATAAAGACCGTCGCGGATCCCTCCCGTCATCCCTATCGTGTTAGATTTGACGTGTAGACACTTATTCATCGAACCTTGTATGTATGACCCTTTCCTTTCACTCCTAAACTAATTTTTAAAAAAACGGTCTTTAATAACGAACGTCTTTTTAACAAGGCTGGGCTGGGGGGAAAATAGAACTTGGGTCACCACCTATATGTCTCAGTTCAAATTGTAATTAAAATATTTAAAACATAGCTACTTTACCTCGGGGCATACATCATCGTCAAGGAACTGAAATAACCATTCGTAACTGATAACAAAATTAAGAGTATAGCGTAAACAAAGTCATTTTTGATCAAAACAGGCACTTTTCGAATGTCAGGCCGGTAATTGCAAAATAAAAACAAGGGAATAAAGAATACACGCAGGAGGATGGGCAACCAGACCCATTTGGGACCAGGCTTGAGATTTTGTTTTTGAATAAAAATAATAGATTAAAAAACGATTTGGGGGCATTTTAAGGCAAATAGATCACAATTGGACCAATCCCTTTCGATTTTTATGAAATTTTGTTACTAAGATTAGTTCAACCTTACTTTCGAGCAAATTTTGAGTTTCCTAGCTGTTATATTTTTGGAAATGTCAGGGGTACAAATATGAAAAATTACCTTTTTATGAGTATCGTAACGCTTTTCATACAAATAATAACTTGTATTACAATAAAAAAAATTGGCAATATTCAGAATTATATTTAAAAATCTCACCCCCTCGTTCATGATTTTATTATCGAATTCACGCTAACTGTGAATGCAGGGTCATACAGAAAAAAGGGTCCGGTTTTAAAAAAAAATTTAAAAAACAAGCTTTTGAGATATCATAAAGTAAAATCACTAAAAGTAGTTTTAAAAAAAAGAGAAAAATATTTTTATACTTTAAATTTTTGATTATTTTACATGTGTCTTCAATAACAGTCTGAGGTTAGTTTATGGAGGTGTAGGTTATGATCCACACAGGAATTAGAGGAAGCATCAGAGATATCTTCGAATTATACGTACAACCTAGACTAACCTCAAGTTATTGTTGCAAATTCTAATCGTATTCACGATAGAAATCTACAAAAAAAAGGTCCGGGCCGAAGCTTCTTTAAAAAAAATCGGGCAGGGTCAGGCTCAAATAAAAATTGATATATTTTATTTTGTCAGAAAAAATGGGCCAATATTTTTTCTATCTAATTGTAAAATGATCAAATGTTTCTTGAAAAATTAAAACTATATTGAAAAAAAAAAAGGAATTTCAATATTTAAACAAATTAGAGCCAGGCGAATAATTAGGCCCGATGCGGATCCTTAATTCACGACTTAATGTATATCATAGTAAAAGCGACCATGACAACTATGGCTCACAATTCTATTTCGACAACCACACTTTTGCTATATTTTACTGTTGAAGATCTTACCTTACATCTCTGTTCGACGTTACAATAGTCTCTGAGTTAACCAGTGTCCAAAATAGAATAACAATTATATTCATCTCCCTGCCTCGTGCAGTTCTAGCTGCAACAATGGCGAGGAATGAGCAGTAATAGTGTCCGTTGTTTTTCACAAAAATCGTGAGGTTTTTATTGTCCTGGATTAAAAACGCCCAAAAAAATTTAAAAATATTCTTTAATATGATCGACATGCATAAAAAGGGGAGATTTTTCATGCTCTATCTCCTGCGATCTTCAAATATAACAGCTAGGAAGGCTAAAAATTTTCTAAAAAGTCTCGGTTTGAATATTAAATTTAAAAAAATAAAAAAAGATCCTTCGAAAATCATGTTTTTTTTGATCGATTTGACATGGTATGACAACTCTTTTTGACAAATTATTCAAAGAATCAGGTTTGCATTTAACATTCAGAGCCACAATTTATAATTAATAAATTAAATTATAAAATAATTTCACGCCCCATTTGCAATTTACTAACTAAATCATTTACATATTTGGTATTTTAGTTTTTAAACAATATTTATAATTATTTTCTCAAAATAATAACACACCCTCGAGAGTATGGTGAAGTACCGCTAGCTCCCAATTATAAAACTGTTATATCTCATTCAAATTTATATTATTTGTGATTTTAAATATCTATCGAAGTAACCTTTATAATTGTAAAATTTAAATAATTTTTTGAAGTGTCAAAAAATACATCATAAAATTTTACATTTCATATTCAGCTAAATCTAAAAACAAAATCAATATTTAAATATTAGTATAAATAATATCTTTATGTGCTAAAAATTTATAAGCTTAAAACGCGCGCTTTTATCTCTTAATAAAAAAAATTACATCTTAAAAATAATTCGATATAAATGCATGATATAGAGAAGAGAATAAAATAAAAGAGACGAGTAGAGATGAGACAAGAAGTTAAATAGGCTCAAAAACAAATAGTTTTAAACAAATCGAATAATTTAATATTCGTATTCATATAAATATAAGAATTTACAATTCCTATTTTAGCGGTATAATTACGAATAGCAAATTATTTGAATCGTTTAAAAGTATCGAATATGAATAATCCATTATACGTTTCGTATTTGAATAAGCCTACCCTGCAGAAATATAGTTATGCATAAAATAGGAAGCTATGAAAGAAAAAAAACTTACATATTAAACTCAAAATATCTATAGGAAATTATTTTATTTTGTGATAACCATTTAAAAATACTCGAGATGCATAGATAAATTTTATAGAACCTTTCGGAGTTTACATCTAATAAAAAAAATCATTCGGTTGAGTATTATAGTTTTCCATATTCATTTTTTAAAAAATTGTTCAGAATAGCATTTTAAAAAATATATATTTCCGGAATTCTTAAACGGGATATCATAATGTAATAATTCAAATAAAGGATTATTCTCAATTATATTTTAACATTTTTATTGTGGATATATAAGAATAGTACTAAAGAATTCATTTATCGAAGATAAAGAGGAATTCAAAAAAATAAGATGATTGGCATTTGCCTAGTTTAGGAGCCCAAAAAAATTTATTTTTGATGGACACAAATAAGACTATTATTTTTAAGGTGCGGCCTAATAAGAAAATTTCATTTGCCCTAATAGATTTTTTCCCCACTTTTTTAATCATCGTCAAATTCACTATAACAAAAAAAGATCATCATCTGCAAATTTTAATAAAAATGTTATACCTTTTTAAATTTTTCGGTTATCAAGTTACCTACCAATGAGAAAAAGTTGAAATTGAGGAAGGTGATAATGGCCTGAAAGTATTTATCTGAATTTCATTTTTATTTTTAAAAAATGTTTTTCCTTGCATAAATTAAAAATGATAAAAAAAATAATAATCTCGTAATAATTAAAAAATATAAATCACATTATAGTATAGCAAAAATGTAATGTATCTTTCTCAAATAAAATAATCTGCATCAATTATTATTGTTTAAAATATTCATTCTTTATTTCAGATTGAAAGTTAGATAAGATAGACAGATAGGGATGATAATAATTTCATTAAATAAATATGGAAATATGAGGTTTAAAAAAAGAAATAAATTTAAAAACATTGGCCTTCACTAATTTATTATGATATTAAATATAATAAAATAAAATAAAATATAGCAGAGAGAAGAGTGGTACACAGCTAAATATTTATATATAATTATGCATTAATTCCGGTTTTTAGAAGAAAAAATCTTCAATATCATAGAACTTAATTAATAAGTTATTGAGCCAGTGAAAAAGGATTGAGCAACATGATTCATCCACAAGAACGAATGTTTTTTTAAAATTTATTTATAAAATTTAATTTTCGAAATGTTTGTAAATGAAGCGGCAATCAATTTATACACAAGAAGTATGTTAACAGGCCTATATTTTTTGAAATTTATAAGTTATTTCAATTCAAAAATTATCAAAACCAATAGGAAATTTTAATTTGAAAAAAACCTACTTTTTTAAAAAAGAAAAAGACTGGTGTGACTACACCATAAAATGAACAAATAATAGAGCATGCCATTATTTTCAAAATTTTTATAAATATGCAATTGATTCATAAAAAGTTATTAAATACAAAGAAGAACTAATAACATTATTAGTTTTTTTATAAAAATAAAAAGAACGCGCTCCGCCAAAAATAATAATTCGCAGAATTTGACAGGTGGCCATTTTATAATAATTAAGATAAGAAAAAAAACTTGATAAACCTGATATGAAAAAATTTGGGTCCCTTTTTTCAATCTTGACTAGAATGGCAGGGAATATGGTTAAGGTGACAAAGAAGCTAAAAAATACTCCAAAACATTGCACCCATATCTGTTTAATTTTTAGGGAAATATTTTCCATGAGGATAAATAATTAGCTTTTAAAATAGATGTATCGTCAACCTAACATTACCTTCCAGCTCACCGGTTGAAATATTGTTTTAGCGAATTAGAAAAATGTGTTTACGGATAAATGGGGAATGGCTTAGTGATAAAAAAAACTCGAGAATTTTATTATTAAAAAGCTAACAATATTATTTTATAATCATTTAATTATAAACTCATCATAAAATAATTCCCTTATGAACCTTTATTCTCAAAAAAGTGTTATAAAGAGCAATATTCAAAAATGATTTATGTCCTACAGCTGATATCATTATAAAAGGGTTTACTACTGTAACATTTATAGTTCTCTTCGCCGTCGTCACTAGTCTAAGACGGGTGACCGCTTCACAATCCTAAAAAGGGGGCAGGCCCGATTTGACTGACAAAAGAATTAGACACGGTGGTTTTTAAGCTCAATCTAAGTGCAGACGACAACTTTTTATAAAAATATTTTTGAATATCAGGTCCGTTTGACCCTTACTATTTGTCGCCCTCTGTAATAACGTTCCTTTCAGGAAAATATTTTAAAAAATTATTATAAATTGTTGCTCGAAAAAAATTTCTTAAAATAAAAGTTAAAACGAAAAAAAAATTAATAATTATCCTATTATAATAATATATAAATCTAACCTTTGTGAATACAGAATAATAATCGTTCAATTTGTATTTTCTGCCGCTATCCTGTGTAACTACATCAGTTTGCTGTGACTTTATCGGAGTACGTAGATGGTACCTATAAAATCTCTTATATTAACGATAAGATTTTTTTGTAAAATTAAATAAAAAATGAGAGTGTAAGATTATCAAACGAAAAAATATTATGGCTAGTGATAAAAGAAATTTCATTCAAGTGGACACCTGAATAGCATAATACTAAAAGGTGGCGAAACCCGATTAGGCTAGTGGAAACTTTTGGGAAAAAGTTTTGGCTCCGACTCGTTATAATTTTTTTATGAAGGAAAGGCTTAAATTATTAATATTAGGGGGAGGTTTGGGGGGGGGGGGGGGTGGCTTCTGAGAATCGGCTGAGGCGAGCTCCAGTATAAACCCTAATAATATTAAACTATCCCAGCCATGAATAAGGGCGATAGGGTTCAATAAATCCAACACTATTATAAATGAGTTCTTATTGACAATCAAAAGGATCGGGTTAATATTTACCTCAAATTTTTATAGCATATATTTTTGACGATGGTTATCATGGGCGAGAGCTGGCAAGCATTTATAGCTTACTTTAAATGAAAAACTGAATTGAATAAATAATTAAAAAGAGACATAAATAAAATTGAAATTATTCTAATCTGAAAACCTCTTTAAAATATTAGAAGCCTATTTAGATATGCATAATAATTTTTACGAAATTAAGCATCAGGGATCCCCATTAATCTTCTTTTTTGAGATTGAGATATCAGAGATATTATCAGATTACTTTATTTGACTTTGGAAGCACCCCATAAATTAATAATAAAAAAAAAATATTAGATTATAGTTAGTATCTAAATGACATTTTTGTTTCTTTGGAACAACATCTTATGAAAATAATATTAACATCAAAAAAAGAAGACTCGGGCTGTGCCCTGGTTAGTTTATTTTTAAACTCGTTTGTTTAGCCAGGTAAGATAGCATCCTCAAACAGTCTAAAAAGAATAAGTCATTTTAAATTTATTCAAAAGTTCATAGAAAAATTGTGTAATTCATAGGTTTGGTCGATGGAATACCCAGCCAAGGCTAAACAGAAATAAAGAGGAGCCAGGACATGGGCGCAGCTATTAAAAATGATTTTGTTAAATTCTAACTATATATTTTTTTAAAATGTTTAAAGAAAGAATTGATTATTCAAAATTAAGTTAAAGCTTTTCGACAAAATTCTGACATATCGATGATAATTCAGTTTTTGAGAATTTTGATAAAATAGGCACATTTATTTTGTTGTTGTTAAAAGCCCTGGGTCGATTTTTAAAAAAAGCCCAATTATAGTCAAATAATATTTTGTGAGCCTAGAGATTTTGATCATAGATGACAGAAAGGTTTAGACCTCTATTTACCAAATCTAGAGGCCTACATAATTTTTATTCTAGCCAAAATCTTAATCGGGCCATTTTTAAAAATCGACCTAAATCGGACTTTTTAACAACGCTACGCGCGCTTATATAATACTCGTGATTCGAAATAATGAAGATTGATTACAACCTAAAATATGATAACAATTATGTTTAAAATAACAAATATACCTTTCAATTATAATAAAGTTACTAATTAACGGAAGTCGATAAATGAGTTAAAAATTGATGAGCAAAGGTATAAAAAATATATAATATATTTTTCATAACGTTCATATAATAAAATAAAGAGAATTGTGGACTAATTGAGTCGGTTTGATTGTGTTTTTTTTGTCGATCAAATATTTTTAATGGAAATAGGGATTAGCGTAAAGGTGTCAATGATCCTTTTTTATCGATCAAGGCATAAATCAATGAAAAAAATTAGGTTATGGGATATGTATTAATAAAACATTCGTTTAAATGTCGGGAATCCTTCACAATAAAACACCGGAAAGTGATGAACGATGTTTTTAAGGCTAATGTACCTAAGTCTTCTAGTGCATAATGTTAAAAGATAACAGCTAAAAAAATCGAATTTTAATTTTACAATTGAAATCCGTGAAAATAATTATCATTGTATTGTAGTGTTGTGAACGCGTTCGTGAATGAAGTTCGTTTTTTTGAAAAAAATGATGAATGGCGTTCCTATTTTTGACCAACTTTGAACGTGAACGCGTTCCTTTTTTATGATGAACGCGTTCGAATTTAACGTTCGTTTAATTTTAAAAATATTTTTATTTTTATTTATTTGAAAAATTTAATATTTCCGAATTTTTTTAAAAAAGTGCTTTTATAAATTGTCAAAAGGACAGGAAACAGTATAAATTATATTATAAATGCTTCAAATCATATAGTAGATCTTGTAACCACTATCTTTTTAAGAAAACCCCCATTATTTATATTTTTTAATCGGCTGTGTATTTCCTTCATTTCAACTTTTTTAACACATAGTTTATTAATTTGAATATTATTGTTTATATTTTAATTTAATAGATTAGCATACGCATGGATATTATTATTTAATCCTCATCATCTGATTCTGAAAATCCAATATCAGAAGAATTATCATTACTATGGCCAAATATGATAAATGTTTTACATTAACATCCTATATTGAAGGAACTAATCCAATGCTTACCAAGTGTAAAATGCGGCCAAAAAGTATTATATTGTCAAAATCTTCAAGAATTTAAAACGACATTTGATTTTAATATTAATTATTTGATTTTATATGATATAACTAAGTTAAATCATTAAATTTGAAGAAATAATGCATTTGGGATATTTGACCCCAACAATAACGATAGTTATTTTAAAATTAAAAAAATTAGTGGCCTATCACTCTCAATTAATTATATATTTTATTTTTTTAAAGATTTGAACATATATATAAGGATCAATATGTTATTTCTGCAATTATACATCCAGCATTCAGACTTCAATGGCCATGGATAAAACTTCCACAGAAAGAACCTATTAAAAATAAACTTATAACGTTATTGAAAAAAATGCTTTGAAAACCCTAGAGAACTGTTAATTTGGAGATATCCTTTTTTTGTCGAGAATACAAAATGGATTGGAGGAGGATAACTTATCTCAATTTTTTGCAAATAACAAAACAATATGTTTTTAATTAATTCTCCACGTTAAAAGAGCTGTTTATTAAGTATAATACCGCAATCCCCTCATCTGCCCCTGTTGAGCGCGTTTTTAGTATAGCTAATGCCGTATTAACTGCCAAGTGTTCCTGTCTATCAGATAAATATTTTGAAAACAATTGTTATTAAAATTTAATAAGAAAAATTTTTTATAAATAAAAATATCTTTTTATTTTCTATATTTTATTTATAATTATATTATCAAAATAAAACTATATTATTTTTTAACATGGCTAAAATATATTATATTAAAGAATATAAGTTTTATTAAATTAAATTTAAAAAAAATTTATCATAAAATTTTGAACGGGTTTATGCGTTCCTTTTTTTGAACATGAACTTGAACGCGTTAGATTTTTGTCAATGAACGTTGAACGCGTTCGATTTTTTTAGAAATGTTTACAGCAATGTTGTATTGTAATATCTTTTTAATCATATTAAATTATTTTTAATTTCTACAGTGACAATCAAACAATAAATTTCTCAAATGATAGAACCTCATAAAACCCTTTTTTAAATAAATATTAAAATAATGATTATTTACATTTTTTACAGGAATTTTTTATATAAATTGTAAAATTAAAATGCCAAGGCATATATTCAAAAAAGATATGAATATTCGATTTGAATACGAATATAAATTTTTTTATCCGAACATGAATCATTTATTTGATTCGAATCGAATAAAAGGAATAATTCGGATTATTTAATAAATTGTTTTTAATAAAATCTAAAATTTGTCATATATTCATTTTCTGAAGGCCTATCCTTAAACCTTATCCACCTTCCCAATACTTATGGTTATTAATTTTTGCCTTATAAAAATAATGTTTTCTTTTCTCTTCCAGTAGGCCAAAATTTAATTTAATTTTCCTCTAATTTTTTCAATTGTCACGATTGCAAAGAAATTAGAAGAAACAAAAAAAAATACGACTAGACCACTAAAACTTGTTCCTTAATATTGTCACGCGCTATATTTTAAAAAATAATAATAGCTGGAAAATTAAAAATATTTTAGTTTGTTCCTGCTTTCCGGCAATGAGGATCTTTGTTAAGTTTTTTTTTTAAATATTTTGATTTTTTTTTAAAATAAACCTAAATAACACATATGTTATTTTAAAAATCTAGATCCAATTTAAGATATTAATGGGAAATTGACATTATTAATTTCCTCATAAAAGATCGATAATTTTAATTTTAAATGAGTTATTTATAAATTTGTACAAATGTAATGTCGCTCTTATTATTTAAAAGTTAGTAGAGTTCTAAGTATATAAAATATTTTTAGGATGTGCTTAGAAATTTACTCTTCCCGACTTCTAGGCTAGCTTTTGCCATAACATGATTCAATTTCAGGTTCAACTTTCAAAAAAAAATAATTGTTTTGGGTCAGAAGTTTTTCTCTATGAAAAGGACTCGTTGATTATAAAAAATTCATTTAAAACAAGTATGATTACTTTTAAAAGTAAATTTTACAAAGCTGATAACAAATCAATGACAAGCGATGTCAATTAAATATTTTTATTAACTATAATTAGGTTAGATACATTTTTAAAAGTTAAATCAAGATTTTAGCCAAAAAAATAAGTCTCGAGGTTTCGAGTTTAGGTGACAAAAAGGGTTAGCCCTCTCTGGGCCATATTTCGAGGTTTAGGTAATATTTTGATTTAATAGTTTTTTAAAAGCGCCTAAATCGAAGTTTTCGACAATGCTTAATTCGGCATATCGTCAAATTATTTGTTAACAAATGAAAATTTAATCATTTTCTGAAGGCCTATCCTTAAACCTTATCCACCATCCCAATACTTATGGTATGAATTTCTTATTTCTTCACTTATTTTAAATAAAGTTTCCTTTTGCTAATTTTAGATATTTATTAAAGAAGTCCCCCCCCCTCAAGTTTAAAATAAGTGACGCCATTAATCATGTGATTGGATATATGAAGGCCGATATCAAGATAATCGGTATCAGATATGTGCCGATATTGACATTTTGAAGAAGGTAACGGATCAACTAAAATTTTCATAAATATGATTCGATTTTTAACTATACATTAAAATTGCTAGTTTTAGTTGACATTTTCAATATTTTGTATATAAAAGAAAATGATATCTATGTTATCTAAATTTAAAGTGTACTTAATATACATAAAATAGAGGTCTAGCAAATTGAGTTTTATGCTTTTTTTTACTCCGGATTATAGAATACCTAAAAAGAATTATTCGATATTCGACTAGAATTTTACGAATACGAAAAATATAATATCTGCGATTGAATTATTCGTTTTATAAAATTATTAGGTATTATTTGAAATAATTTGTAGATATTCGTAAACAGTCAAAATTCGTAAATATTGGAAATTATTCATAAATATTCGAAATTATTCTCGAATATTTGGAATTCTCGAATATTTGAAATCATTCTTAATTATTAAAAATGTTCCTTGTGTACCTTTTTATTTTTTTACTACATAATCGAATAATGTTTTAATTATTTAAAATAAATGTAAACAATAATATACCCATTTACATAATAATATCTCAACATATATGTCCAGTGGCGTAAAGGGGGTGAGGGTTTGGGGTTGAACCTCCTCCTTCCATTAACCTCGAAATAATTTATTTTTAGATATTTATTGTAAGTGAATGTTATTTATCTCATTTTTAAAATAGAGTTTTTGTTGAATTATGATTTGCATACTTTATATTATGATACTAAAATAAAATATGTAAATTTTATTTCTTTAAATTTAATATAAATAGAAAGATCAAGAATGATAAATTTGATGAATTTTTTTACATTTTTGAGATATCATATTATATTTTTATGTATTGTATTTTTTAATTTTTTATAATTTTTATAATTTTTAATTTTATATGTTTACCTTTTATTTAAATTTATAGTTTACATGATGAAATTGAAAAGAAGGTTTATTATTAAAAGGTATTTAATTTTACATGTAATTATTTTTATTATAGGTTATTAATAAATTAGATATTTTTTATACTTTTTATTTTATAATTTTAAATCCATTTTTAAATAAAATGGCTTTATTTGGTGATATCAACTATGATAATCTTGTCATTTTTTATTTATTTTGTCAATAATGTTTTTTTTTTATTTTGTCAATAATGTTTTTCTTTAAATTATCTACCAAAAGCATTGAAGCATTAAAAAATTATGAAATAAGCACATGGACATACATATATAATGCTTCCAGATCTTTGGCTGACTATTCTTAAGGTTTGATATCATAGTTTGTATTTGGTACATAATTTGATTACTCTTTTGTGGCTGACGAAATCAATCAAAGGATTATAAGTAAGGCACAAAATATTAATGTAAGCCAGTTATAGCTCCGTTCTGGCATGATGCTAATTTTGAAAATTTTTTTACCAAAAATTCCTTTCTCCTTTAAACCTCTAACAAGCAGAGTAAAACAATAAAATGTACTAATAAAGTCCTACTTAATGGTTTGTGGTATAAGTTTTAGAATTATTGTTTTTAAAAGCTCGCTCAATTCATATATAAAGCATGATGTCATAGTCTTTATTTTGCTTATAACTCAGCTTCTTTTTGTGGTTCTCATATTTGATTGAGAAATATAAGTAGTCATGAATTACATATTAGCTCATGTTAGATAGATATATATACTTATTTTTTATATTTTCCATTCTAGCAGGATGCAAATTTTTCTTTCTTTCAACTGACCAAACGGATTAAATTAATTTACAAATAATCACTAATCGTTATAGTTAGGTAATGACTGAATGTTGGCTAATTTAACTTTTTCTACAGGCATGGGTCGAATTTATATTAGTTTCTTTAAAATTTGAGCTGCTATATTTTTTAAAAACCAAAGGTAAAAATATTAGTTTCGGCTAAATACTATGTTTAGCCTATTTTTTAGCTGTCTAATAGTTAGCTTAAACGGCTCGTTGAGCCGATCTTTAAAAACGGCTAACTCAATATTTCATCCAGAATACGCAAGCCTGAAGATTTTGCTCATAGAAGGAACATAGGTCTAGGCATATATAATCGAAATCTCGAGGCTTAGGCAATATTTTACTGGTTAAAATATTGTTAGCCTTTTTAAAAAACCGGCTCAAGCCGTTTAACAACACTAGTAAATACCCAACTGTGTGTTAAAATTTTCAGTATAAATGCTTTCAATAAGTAGGGTTGGCCAAAATTTCGTTACTAATAATTTATTTTTCCTTTATTGGCCACTATACTGGTTAAAGTCAGACACTAATAATGGACAAAACATTGACATTAAAATTAGTGTTTTTAATTGTTCAGCTAATTTCAATGGAGATGATGTAAGGGTCATGGAAAAATAAATATATAATTTTCTATAGGGGGCCTGACAACCAAACGCCCCCCATGGAGAAATTTTGGCTACAGCACTGTATATGAGAAATAGTAAAATTTAATAGAGTCATCATTATTCCACTTTAATCAGATACTTAAGTTTCATGCCATATTATATGAACAAATAGGTAAACTAAATACTGAGCCAAATTTCAATAAACAAAATTGCTAAATTTCATTTTTTAAATAATTTATAATATATATTTATACTTAAATTTTTATTGAATAATTTCAACTGAAATTGTTTTTACAAGCTTTAGATATTATAATTTCTTGATCTTAAGAGGCAACCTTAGTAATTTTTCCCACAACTTTTTAATCCTTTAGATATAAGAGGAGTTTTAATCCCATTTTTTTTAAATCTACTTATATTAAAATAATATAGCTTTTCCAGCAGCATCATAAAAACAGAAATTTACATTAAATTGAAAAAATGAAGTGAGCTAGGGTGGGCATTGCTAAGTTCAGAATGATTTTTAATATTTATTTAAAAACAATAAAATAAATATACTAAATAAACAAAATATAATTTTCATGTAAAAAAAGTTTATTTTAAAAATTGTAATAAACATGTAACTTAAATGAAATCTATATAAAGTTGATAAAATGTATGGTAGAGTCAGGACTGTAATCCTGTTGAGGTTAGATGATGCAAAATTGTCTTTGAAATCAGAAGGGATGGGGGGGGGGGGTAGTAGTTGTGAAGAGATATTAGGGGTAGGAAATAATTTTGATTTGAATTTTCTTTTTCATTTCTGGGTTTTAAGTCCACTTATTGCAGGCCTTTGGCCAGGTTACATTCTTTAAGAATAATTTTGGCTTTTTTCCATTTTTAAAGATAAAGATTTTTTAATTTTAGAAACTATTTAATTTATTATATTATAAAATTATTAACATTTACCTGTTTTAAATTTTTGTAATAACATATGGGAAGAGGGGGTGTGATAAGTGTAGGAGAAATTGTTTTATCAAGGAAGAAAATTTCCAAAAAAAAGAGAAGAGGTGCCACTAAATTTATACTGAATTGAAATATCATTTTGTAAAAAACGAAATTATACTACCTATTAAAGTCATAAAATATGTTAAATTAAATAAGATATATATATATCTATACGTAATTTACCAAAAGAGGTAGAGCAAAATAAGAATCAAAACACACCAGAAGTATCAATTGAGCTGATATAAAGTACCATATGGCTGATAATCTTGGACTGGGAGATGCATATATCACTAGAATATATACTAAAGCAACCAGAGTTCCACATACATTATTTCCTATAATTACACCATTTGTGTATTTCATTGGAAGACTCCCTGCTAAACCAAAAATTGAACTTTGATATATGCCTGTAGCACTATTCATAATAACAACAGTTATCATTGTTAATATGAAAAAAACTTTTGGCCAAGTTGATGTGTCCAAAATGGCTAATATAACTGTGAATATACACATAATTACATTAATAATGATTGCAATAGGTATTCTTGGTTGAGTTTGGTAAGCTTTAGGGTTTTTATCCTTTGTAGAGGATCCAAATTGAACGAATAAATTCAATGCCATTAAGATAACATTTGGCAATTGTGATATTATTCCTAGATAACTAATAAAATTTTCCTTGTATTCATGGGTGCCAGTTACATTTGGGTTTAATTTGTAATCTACAAAATACTAAAAAAAATGATATTTTCCAAATATTTATTTACCGAATTTGCATTGATGAACACATTCCAAGGGATAAGTATTCCGATACCATGTATCATCATAATAATGTAATTTAAATTCATCCTATCATAAAGTTTAGGCTAATGTTAAATATTTTAACTAAACCTGTCTTTAGGTTCCTCCGATAGGGGATGATCAAACTGATACTTAGTTTCTTCGTTTGAGTGTCCATTGCCGAATTGTGAATTTTCAATCAGAGTTTCATTATTTTTTTCCATTTTCGTATAGAAAAAGGAGACTAAATATTTTGAAAAAAACTGTGCAAAATAAAAAATATTTATCGTTCCTCTAAAAGTATAATTTTTGAAGTGTGAAAATAATACTAATTAAAATATTATATAATTAGTCTATAGCAATTAAATTATTTTCAAGATAATCTTTTTTAAATATAAAATTATCTTCCTAAAAACCAACAGAGATAAGCGTTCGATTTAATTGAATATTTACTTGAATTTTGCACTTTAATTTTCATATTTACTAAACCTTTACCATTTATTTAATTTGTACATATTAAAGCAATCACGTGGTCGAGTCTGATCTACTAAATATTATCTCCCGTGATATTTTCTAAACATACTAGGCCACTGAAGCTATAGGCCTGTATGTTTTCGGCTACCCGTTTACCCCCGCCCATTCTTTGAATGGGCATGGTCGGGGTTATTAAAATATTTTCAACATTGGGCGGGTGGCGGGCGGGTTAAAAAATTTAAAGTAATGGGCAGGCATGGGTGGGTAAATTTTTAATATTTTTCAGGCGATGAGCAGTCATTCAATTTATTATAAAATGATAGTTTTATTTCATAAAGTTGCATATTATATATGTTTAATAATTATAAATACATTAAAATAAGGAGACAAACCAGCCATTGATATAATTCTTAAATATTGGGAGGATGGGCAGGTTAAACAAAATTAAGATAAATGGGCAGTCGGGAGGGTAAATTATTTTTAAAAAACATAAGTGAGCAGGTGGGCGGGTTAAATAATTTTCAACTGGAGTGGCGGACATTTTGGCTAAAAACCCACCCATTGCAGACCTCTTACAGAAGCTACTCAAAAGCACAAATTTTTTTGTACATAGAAATAAAATTACAACGCTATATAAAATTTTAATAAAACACATAAAAAAATCATTCATGTTTAATGCTATCTATGCAAGCATAAATTCTTATTGCACCAAAATGATGTATGTTTTTTTTAAAAAATTAAAATCTTTTTAGATAAATTTTAATTTAATGGAAGGCAACGGGAGATCTCTTCTTTGATTTTAAAATCTAATTTTATTATATATATCTATGTGCAAAATTCTTGTCATTATATACATTTTTTATAATAGCGAATTTACATGTTAACAAAGTACATATGTCCTTTACAATTTCATTTTGCGTTACCGATTTTTTTTATCTTTTATTACACTGACCTTTTAAACTAAAAAAAAATAATATTCAATTTTAATCTTAATTTGGTCATATTTAACAATAAATATCTAATTAAACTGCAAATTTAATGGTGATTTATAATATATATTAGAGATATTTATTTTATAATTATAATTATTGCTCAAATAAAAACTAGAAGTTTTTATCAACAAAATTATTTTTTTTATATAATATATAATGTGGCGAAATAACAAATAAATAGTGTTGGAGCTCTAAAATTTGTAATGCGAGCTATTACTTTAAAAAGCTTCCTTGATTGATTATCGTTTGTAGGCCTGTGCAGCCAATATGATATAAGGAGCATAATTTTACTACGAGAGAATGCCCGTACCCTCATCATTGAAAATAAAATATGTTTTATCATAAGACTCAAGCAAATCCTTTAATGGTATTAATAATATGAGAGCCTGATTCATATTTAGTAGTACTACAAGGAATTTTGTTAATATCATTTTGAAACTCTTCCAAATTAAGGGACCTTTATTACTCTAATTAGTTTCATAATATAATCCCTTATCCCCTTTATTGCGAGATCGAGCTTCAATCGGAAACAAATTCGTTTAATTTCTTTTCCACCTTACCCAGAACTAATGAGAGGTACTGCTAGCAGTTATCTTTTTCTAAATATTTCATATCAGATAAGTTTGTTAAAACTGTATAATTTTATATAGTATCTATTAAAAAATTATTGGAATTAGCATCCATTAATCTATTTTGCATATTGTCTATTAAGGCAGTAATGAGTTTATTTGTGTTGATATCAGAAGGCCATGTTTTTATTTAGCTTATAGAGATATTTTTATAATCTTCTCCCTCCTTTAAAAATGGCCGCTTGAAAATTAAATCATGTTCTCGTTAAACGGTCAGCCCGATTTTGGTTTATTTTTAAAAGCGCCCGGTTTAAGATTTCAGTTTAAATAATATTATATAACCTGGGGATTTTGCAAATATACGTCCAAAGCGATCTGCAACCAATGAGCAAATCTCCAGGTTTAAATAATATTATTTTACCTCGGTATTCGATCAAACGCCTTTGTATACTGGCTATATATTGTGTCAATAAAGGTCTTCGAGTGACGCCTATAACACTTTTTATTGCATCGAATACTGCTAATTTTAAACGAATATTTAAAAAATGCCAGAGTATAATTAGTGCGCAGAGGCGTTTTGCTATACCATACGAGATTTTTTCGCAGTCATGACATGGCGCCATCGCACCAATTTTTTGCAAAATATTTTCTAGAAAACTTAGTAATTTAAGAAGATCCAGTAAGTTATGAACTATTCCCTCTGCATTTCGCTTAATTAAGAATTACAGAAATAATCAAGGCAGGATTCATATACCACGGAAAATTTTGATTTCCTTAAAAATAATTTACCAAAAGGCGGAATATCTAGAATGCAAAATATTTCCCATATCTAAACCGTTGTGGTCTTGTAAATCTATTAACCATTCAAAACCCATACAAAGATTTGATTTTGCAAAATAAAGTATGAACTATTTAATATTAACTTGGTTTGTTTATAAATGTGCATAACCATTCTGTTGTAAAAATAATTTGTAATATTTTTCATTTTTATTTATACACAAACATGGCTAGTCAAAACCTAAATATCCATTAATTTTTATTCAATTATGACTAATACACACATTATTGGTGATATACGAAAACTACAATATAAAGATTTTCGCGATTAAATGAAATTTTAATTTAAGTAGATTATTTTGTGCTAAAATTAAAAAAAAATTTTCAAAGATAAAAAGTAAGGGCCTATCATTTATATATAATTTTTGAATAAAAATCATTACAAAAGTATTCTTAATTTAAATATGATGAATGTAGGTTAAATTTGATAAATTTTAGCCATATGAAGGGTATAATTTCTAAACACCTGTTCATCTTACTCTAGGATTTCGTATAAATATAAAGCAGTCTGATATCTCTCTATAAAAAAAAATACCTTTTTTCTATGGTTATTTCCTGTTTTATATATGGTGAATTCCATATCAAATCAACAAAAAAAAGTCGATTTTCAACCCGACCCCCTTCAAGTTTTCTTAAATTTTGTAGTAGTATATACTATAACTAAGAAAAAAATAAAATTTTACCTTCCAACACTGTTTACCCGCTAAGATTGGCCGTTTAAAGCGCGGAAAAATGGTACATTTTTGACAAATTGCACCTCATTTATTTTCAAATATCTCGAGAAATAATTATGTTAGAAAAATAATTTAAATTTTATTTTGTAGCTTAATAAAAGTTCTTTAAAATGACATAAAAATAAATATGATAGACATTTGATTAATATCAAACCGGATTGAAAACCGGAAATGGTCATAGAAAAAAAAGATTTTTTTTTTAAAAATTTTTTTTTCTGTAGATAGATATCACATTGCTTTATATTTGTACAACTAGACTGGGATGAACATGTGTTTAGGAGTTATGGCTAAAATTGAACAAATTTAACATTAATATCATCATATTTTAATTTAATGAATAGTTATGAAATAATGTTAATTTAAAAATTATGTCTAAATGATAGGCTCTTACATTTTTTTATCTTTATAAAAAAAAATTGAGAGGTGGCTGGGATAATGAGCTGTTTAAAACTTTAGTTAAATTTTATCTCGAAATTAAAATTACTTGACAAAATTATTTTAAATATTTTTATTTAGCATAAAATAATCTACCAAAATTGATATTCAACAATAAATTTTTCCCCATATATTCAAAATTAAAAGAAAGGCTTAATATATTATTTGACGAGAATTCTATAGATCATGAAACATTCAAACAATGGATAGCAATTGATCGAACTACCCTCGAAACACTGACAAAATTACTGACGAATTTGTACATTATTTAATTGAATAATTAAACAATTTAATTCCTCATTTGTTTATAGCTTCACGATAATCATTAATTCGAAACTTTTTAAAATTCAATTTAAATGTTGGCGAATTCTTAGTTATTGCAGACTTTTCAGAAAACTATGCATTTGTAGTGCAGAAGCATGCACAAGGATTTAATCAGACCAATAATCAAGTCACTATCAACTTTTATAATTTATTACCGTGAGAACAACATAATAAAACATGTAAATTTAGTGGTTATATCAGATTAAAGCACAACGTAGGTGCATTTTATTTATTTTAAAAAATTGATCGTATTCTTGAAGGAAAGATTTAATAGTGGCTAAAATTTAATTTTTCTGATGGAGCAGTAACCAATACAAAAATAAAAGATTTCATTAATCTCTACAATCATAATGATTTTGGGGTAAAGGCTGAGTGACATTTTTTGAAACCGCACAAGGTAAAAGTCCATGCGACATTTTGGGGGCCGTTACTAAACGGTTAGCAGCTCGAGCAAGCTTGCAACGTCCTATGAATATCATATATTGACAACAATAGATTTATTTAACTATGCAAGAAATAATATCTATGGGGTAAATTATATATTTGTGAGCAATAATGAATATATAAACATAGAAATTATAAAAACAGATTTTTGAGAGCAAAGAGAATTTCTGGAACACAAAGTCCAAGCTTTTATTCCCCTAGACGAAAACAAATTCATCATTTATTAAAATTCCTTGGATGATTATAATATATGACATATTTTAATTATAAATTTTTGATTGTATTATATGTAATACAATTTGAGGCAAATAAATATAAATATGTTTAGAATTATTTTGTCAAGTAACTTCGAGACAAAATTTAACTAAAGTGTTAAACAAAGCTCATTATTCCAGCCACTTCTCAAAAATTTTGATAAAGATAAAAAAAAGTAAGGGCCTGTCATTTAGACATAATTTTTAAATTAACATTATTTCATAACTATTCATTAAATTAAAATATTGTTCAATTTTAGCAATATAAAGAGTGATAACTCCTAAACCCATGTTCATCCCAGTCTAGGATTTTGTACAAATATAAAGCAGTGTGATATCTATCTACAGAAAACAAATTTTGAAAAAAAAATACCTTTTTCTATGGCCATTTCCGGTTTTACACTTCCGGTTTTCGATATTAATCAACGTCTATCATACTTATTTTTATGTCATTTTAAAGAACTTTTATTAAGCTACAAAATAAAATTTAAATTATTTTTATAACTTAATTATTTCTCGAAATATTTGAAAATTAATGAGGTGCATTTTGTCAAAAATGTACCATTTTTCCGCGCTTTAAATTAAATGGCCTATCTTAGGGGGTAAACAGTGTTGGATAAAATTTCATTTTTTTCTTAGTTATAGTATATACTACCAGCATACAAAATTTAAGAAAAATTGAAAGGGGTCGGGTTGAAACCTTGGTTGATTTGATATGGAATTCAATATATATATACGGTCTTAGATATTGATCGAATTACTATTAAATTTAGTTATGTGTCATATTAAAGAGCTATTATTAAGCTATATAACATATAAATTATTGCTCTAACATAATTATTTTTCGAAATATTTAAAAATAAATGAGATGCATTTTGTAAAAAATAGCATTTTCCCTTGATTTAATCCACATATCTTAGTGAATAAGCACTGTTGGAGGTAGGGTTAAAAATCATTTTTTTTAGTTGATTTGACATGGAATTTACCATATATAGTTTATTTCTCTAAGAAACTTTTATTAAACATAGTTATTTAATCATTAAAATAAAAAATTAACCATTTATCCCCCCTTTCTCCCCATTTTTATTAGCCGGAATTTTTCTTCTAGTAAGGTTAGGGAAATTATTCTATAAATCAATCTGAAATGGTTTATAGATAGCATACTATTAATGAGTATTTCCGTATCTATCGTAAAATATTTAAATATATATTCGTATTTAAGGTCTAATAGATTAGAGACATTAAGATCGGGCTTGATTTTTATAATGAACTTTGAATCACCCAAAAAATTTATAAAAAGTTAAGCTTAGCCTAAAAATATTTTGTAAAAGTTGCCAGTCCCGGCCTACAAATCAGGATTTGAACTATACAGTTCTCATAAAATATTTATAATAACTAAAACAAGTAATTATAAGGAAAAAACATAAGAATATTATTAGACTAGAAAAATCATTATAAAACTTTGTAGAAAAATAATTTCTAATACATTATTTTATAGAACTTTATATATATTTTAAACAAATTGGACATAATTAATTACTATTTTTAAAAAAAAATTGGTCATATAATTTTGTGGAAAAAAAATACTCAATTTTATATAAATTTGATTTCAAAAAAAAATAAATAATCATAAATAATGCAGAAGAACTGACTATATTGTAAAATAATATGATAAAATTTCTCAAACATTCCTGAAACTATATTATAATAAGGTACAATCAAATTATATTGATAATTAAAAATTGCGATGTTTTTATTTGTATAAATGTGTATTTTTTAAATAATACATTTTTGGAATAAAATAGTTAAAATATAAAATTTATTTTAGATGAATGTATTGAGAGGTTATATTTAATTTATTTATTAACAGAAGAAAATCAAATCTTCCAAAGGATAAAATACAACTAAATTAAACAATTTAACATAAAAATTTATCACTTTATTTGTTACTTTTTTATAGATATAATATATCCAAAAAACAATCTATATTAATATAAAATAATACTTAAAGCGTATAAAATAACAATTTATACAAATCAATCACATATTAATCTTAAGATTTTGACTTCTCAAGAGAATGAATGAATTGACTGAGAGTGTAATATAATATAAATATGCTATTAAAAAAAATATTTCCGGGATCATTTTTGAATATGACTGCTAAGTATAATTGATTGAATTTATTCCCGTTATTAATCATTTTCATTCATAAAATTTATAGTTCTTAAATTCAATATACATGACATATTATTTATTTTCTATATTCACTTTCTTAAAATAATTTCGAAACGAGCAACGCAAAATTTAACCCGCATAATAGGCCTATAATCATAAAGAGAGTAGCCATCATTCCCGCCAATTGCGCCATACGTGGTTCGACTAAACTATTTAACAAATAAAAATGTTTATAAAAATAAAAAGTAAATATAGTAGAATGGTCCCTCTATGTTCAAATTAATGTACTGTTTTTAAAAAATAAAATAGAAATTAACGAAAAACTGTTTATAATGATATTATTTTATTACATTAAAAATGATATCAAATTTGAAAAAGTTAAATAAAATGAGAAAAGTCCCACAAGAAAAGGAAATCTCAATCAAAAAAGAAAAATTTCGATTTAAAAATGGAAAATATTTTTTGTATATTTTTAAAATAAAATATATAATTATTTTTTTATTGCAATCAATAATCCTAAAAGGTCATTTTTAATTATTTAGATAATTTTATTTCTTATTTTTTATAATTTTTTGCAATTCTGTTTAATTTTCTAATATTTTTAATCTATATTTGTCATATTTTTTCAATCTTATTTCTTCTAAAGTTTTATTATTCCTTCTTAAAATAATTTCTTAATTTTCAAATGTCATTTTTCTTCAATTATTTTTATCTTTATATCATTACAATTGTAGAATTAGCATTTCATCATATTTGAGAAATTAAAGGAATCAAACAAGATGCGTTTAATGCTGTATATAGATTCGAAAGAAAATGTATTTTTTGGATAAAATCTTTTTATCATAATTTCAAAGTTTTAATAATGAAGAGGAAATGATTAATTTTATAGGAGCATAAAGAGAAAACAAATATAATGTCAAAAATAAAATATGGAGATCTACATCAGAGATCTGCAAATCACAGCCCTGGCCTTGCCGAGTCTAGATTTTTAAATATGATATTACATTTTGTCATATAAATTGATATATCTTAACATTCTTGGAAGAAACAAGGCGCTAATATTTTTTATTTGCAGAATATTTTTTTATATTTTTCTATATTTAAATGAATTCGGGCCGGGCGGGCAAATAATTTTTATTTCGAAGTTGGCTTTATGGGGAAAATAAAAAAATTCGTTTGGGGTCGGGCCAGGCAGTCAAATATTTTTAAAAAAATCTCGGGAAGGGCTTAAAAAATTAGGCTAGATGCAGATCATTAATCTCTATTCCAAACTTTCTTATATCGTATTCGCAATAAAATAATTTGACATGCAAAACATGAATAAAAAAATATTTCATTGCCAAAGAAAAATAAAATAAATATAAGGAAAAAAAGAATAATAATAAAGACAAAAAAAAATTTAGATGAAAAAAGAAAAAAATAAATTAAAATGGAAGAGGTTGCAAAAAGTTGTAAAATTTTTTTTATACAAACAATTTTCCTTTTTTGATCTAAGGCCTCGTTTATTCTGAACGCGATTTCTTCAAGCGGTCCGGTTTTAACTCTATCAAAATCACAGCTGATTCTTCACAGCGATAATAATTTTTTAATATAGGTCGCAAAATATGTTTTATCATAGCGTTTTCATCGTTTCGCTCTATATTTAAATTATACTTATTTTGTAAATAACGCAGCATTAAATACCGCACCGCTTAAACAAATAGCGTTTACTATAAATGAGGCGTAAGTCTTTAGCAGTTTCCTTTTTTTGATAGGACTTTTTCATTTTTTGCAAATCATAATATAATATATCATGATTTCAGAATATATTTAGAATGCTTAAATGTAAAGAGGAGCATATTAGGAGGTTTTTTTGTAAAAAATTTATTGATAAAATTATCAACGTTTGGATTTTAAGAGAGGAATTTGCTATAAGATAACCTCGAGGTTCTTATTTTCCAGCCACGTGACTAACTCACTTCTTTTTTTTATTGGATCTTCATCAAATTATATTATCTTTTTTTTATAATTTTGGTTTTATTCTAAATTACTAGCACTTTTCCTTTATTAAGAATTTCTTTTTTAATGCAAATTATCAAATTTTTGTTATTATTTCTTTATGTTCGAACTCTCAAAAAATCTTCTGAGAATTAGATTACTCAATCTCCACTTTTTGTAATTTTACAGGAGATAAATTTTGGATTTTTTTATTATATAAGAATAGTATAATAAAAAAAATGATTTATGTTTAAAAAAAGGTCCATTTTGAAAAGTGGATAAGAAATAGCCTAATTCTCAAGCGAAGATAAATTCTTTATGCCATTTTTTGTATCTTCATTACTAGTTTTTTTATTTTACGTCCAAATAATTAATTATTCTCGATAAATTTTATATCGCAATTTATTATAACCTTTTTATGATAATTAATATGAAAAGGCAAAACACCATTTAAGGCTTTGAAATAATATAAATTACATTAACTAACCATTTTATGTAAAAAAAATTTATTATATAAAGACAATTCTTTTTATACAATTCAATTTATAAAAACTTAATTTAAAATTGCTAAAATTTATTATACACTTTTTCAATTAAAATTTGAGCGCTTAGTAGAATTTATTTTAAGACCTTCCTGATACTAGGATCAACCAGAGTCCACGAGTCAGGGATCGATTCTCCTTTGGTTCTTAACATAATCATTTTCGGTTATTACCTTTTACTTATAACAAGGGGACGAACTATACCATGGATTTCTCTCCTATTATTTTTATTCTATAGTAAATTAAAGCATTCTTTTAAGTTAAAATACAAATTAGCCACCGAATTTTATTTAGATTTTAGGGTCTTGATAATGCCTATATCTATAATGAAAACGGGCCCCCTTGTTCCAAATACACCTTGACCGTCGCCAATCCTTCCCAACATCCCTATCCGGCTTTGTGTAGGCATTTATTCATCCAGTCTTGTATGTGTGGCTCTTTTCACCATTAAACTTATTTTAAAAACTACCGTTTGTAATAACAACCACCTCTTTAACAAGGCTATGCTAGGGGAAAAGGGAAAATTTTAGTCACCTATTGGTATCAAATATTCAAATTGTGATTAAAATAATTATAATAGCTGCTTTACCTCGGGGCGTACATCATCGTCAGGGAAAGGAAATAACCATGCGAAGCCGCTAACAAAATTGAGAGCATAGCGTAAACAAAGTCATATTTGATCAAAACCGGCACTTTCCGAATGTCAGGGTGGTAATTGCAAAATAAAAACAAAGGAATAAAAAAAACTCGCATGAGGATGGGCAACCAGACCGATTTGGGACCAGGCTTGAGTTTTTGTTTTTGAATAAAAATTATTGATTAAAAAACGATTTTGGAGCATTTCATAGTAGCAAATCGATCACGATTCGACCAATCCCTTTCGATTTTTTTGAAATTTTGTAGACTAAGATTAGTATATTCGAGCAAAATTTGATCTCATAGCTGTTTTATTTTTGAAAATATCAGGTAGTGCAAATATGAAAAATTACCTTTTTTATGAGAATCGCTTTTCATACAAATAATAACTTGTATTATAATTTTAAAAAAAATTGGCAATATTTAGCCCAGAATAAATTTAAAAACTTCACCCCCTCATTCATAAATACTTCGCCGCGAATTCACGCTAATTGTGAATGCAGGGTCATAAGGAGTAAAAATGGGTCCGATTCAAAAAAAAATTAAAACAAAGATTACTATTACCAATATGAATATTAAAAAGAATTAAAGATGAGCTTTTACGAATCATAAAGTAAAACCATATATCATATTATGATAGTTAAAAATTAAGTATTACCAAAAAATGATAAACATAAAATAACTACATGTGTTTTCGATAATAGTGGTTAGCGTATGTAGAAGGTTTAGGATATGATCCACAGAGGAATTTACGAAGCATCCGAGACATCTTCGAATTATAAGTACAAACAACTAACTTCCGGATATTGCTGTAATCCTTTTTATTGTAGATTCTAAAACCTCTTTATCTCTTCATACTCCACCACCAACCACGAGTATATATATCATGTTTTCGGAATGAAATCAATATGTATGCGTTCCCAGGCTGATTCGCTGTCGGTAGCACTTTGCTTGTATTTTTGGGGATTGAAACCCAAAAATTGGACATTATACAAGTCCTGCTGATATTTTTAATCTCTTTATTCATTCTCAGCCACCCCGATATTTCATTCTCTTAACTCCTTGATGTCCAGCATGAGCCATTATTGCAGGAAAAAAGAAAAGGCACAACTTATAAAATATGATGAATAATATTTGTTATATTGGGTTGTTGATTAACCAAAATTATCATAATTATTATTGGCTTTCATCATTTGAAAATTCATGCCACAATAGAGCTCAAGTAGAGATCGGATTTTTCTTTGGATAAATTTTAATAAGGTTTGAGATAAAAATTGTGTAAGCAACATAAATTTAATAGCCTAGAAAAAAGGGGGGACTGGTGAAGTATTAAAAATTATGTTTTTTTGGTCGGTTTGATTTGGTATGATGGCCCTTTTTGATAAATTATTCAAAGTATAGACGTTTGTATTAATACATTCTGAGTCACAACTTACAATTAATAAATTAAATTATATAATTGATAAATTTAATTTTATATCCCATTTGCAATTACTATCTAAATCATTTACACATTTGATATTAGACAATAATCACAAAATAATAGCATTATAAAGAAAGGTAAGGTGTACAGCCATCTCTCAATAATAAAACTGTTATATCTCATTCAAATTTATATTATTTGATATTTTAAATTTATTAAAGTTAACCTTATAATTGTAAAATTTAACCCTTCATAACACAGGTGAAAAAAAATACCACGAAAGAATAGGCGGGGTTCCAACGGACCTCAATTTAGATACGCTATATCTTAGAATTAAATTTATTTGTACCTTTTATATTTTAAAAATATCTTAAATAAACTTTTTAAATGTTATTTTGATTTTATCGTTATTTTAAAATTCTATGATAGCTTTCACCAAGAGAGTGAAAAAAGTAAAAGCTTATTTTATGTACAATATGATATTAAAAGATATATATATATAATTGATAAATGTTTATCTAAGGTATAAATATTAGTATATTATTATTTTTAATAAATAAAAATAATGCATAAAAAAGTATTTATTTAAGCTTAGTTATATCAATCCTAATAGATGTTAAAAATTACACAAATGACCAGATAGGGTTTATGCGGACCCCACATGAATTACCTAACATAATCAAAATTAATTTTGCACATAAAACCTAAAAATATTAAGCTAAAAAAAGATCCAGATAAAAATATAATGAATTTTGAGTAATAACGTCTTCTAAATGACTGGGTTTGCATAGCCCCACCGATGCTATTAAGATTTAAAGAATCTTTGAAAGGCAAAAAATATAAAGCGACATAAAATATTACATTCCATATTTTAAAACTAATCTATTTCAAAAAACAAACAATAATCATGAAATTTTGCCAAAATTAATATAAAGATATTATATTGGTATAATTAATAATGTATTTATGTGCCAGAAATTATAAGTTTAAAATGCACATTTTGCCTCTTAACAAAAATATATATTTATATTTTAAAAAATAATTCAATATAAACTCACTATACCTTAAAAAAAGACTATTAAAAAACGTTTTAAACAAATCGAGAAATTTAATATTCGTATGCATACAATAATAGAATTTACAATTCCTATTTGATAGGTATAATTACGAGGAGTAAATTATTCGAATCGTTTAAAAGAATAAAATATCAATAATTCATTATTCAATTAGCATCTGAATAGGCCTACCTTGCAGTATAAATACATAAAATACGAGGTTATGCAAAAAAAAGCTAAATTTTACAGAACTTTTTGAATAGTTATATCTAATAAAAAAATTATTTTAGACATTATCATAAATGACGGATGAGTAATGTTCTATATCCATTTTTAAAAATTTTTTAGGATAGCATTTAAAAAAAATATATTTTCTAAATTTTTAAATGGGAGATAATGTAATAATGCAAATAAAAGGATTATTCTCATTTCTCAAATATATTTTACATTTTTATTGTGAATATATAAGAATTAGAGATCTGCAAAAGTGGGCTTGGCCCGGGCCCGAACACCGATTCGGGTCTTAGAAATTTTTTAAAATATATATAAATTTATCAATTTTATGTTAAATTTTTTATGTAAAATAAAAATATGTGATTTTATTTATAGAAAGTAGACGCCATATAACAATCGTTTATTAAAAGTAATAATATAAAAAAAATTTTTTTTAAATAAATTCGGGCCGGCAAAATTTTTTTAAAAATTTCGGATTCGGGCCGGCCTGGCAAAACTTTATAAAAAAATTTCGGGCCGGGCCGAGCCGGCTTGAAAAATTAGGCCGATGCAGATCACTAATAAGAATAACAGTATTTGAAGAATTTATTTATCAAAAATTAAGCATTTAGCAAAATAAAGTGGACATAGAACACCATAAAACTTAGCTGACGATATATAGTAGATGATATAATTTGGCATTAGTGAACTTTAAGATGACCAATTTAGCTGACCAAAGCAGAACTTTTTTCCCAATAATAAAATTCCATTATTCAATTTCAAAATTCCTAAAATCTAATTTCAAAAAATGGCATACACTTAAATCCAGAAAATTCTTTATCAAGAAATGGCGTTGTTAGAAAAGAGAAATTTGAATCTAAAAATTTCAGCCTTATTATAACTTTAGACTATTAGTTATATTATTCGTATAAGCTAACGACCAATAGGATCAAAACCTATAGATGATTAGAATTTACCTATTTTAAGAGCCCAAATTAGCTAATAATTTATTTTTGATAGGCATAAATAATACATCTGAGTCGGACCTATTTTTTTTTAAGGTGCAGTCTGGAATGAGGAAATTTTAATTTGTTCTATCGATCGTTTCCCCGTTTATCTTTAGTCATCGTTAAATACACTAAAACAAAAAAAAAGGTCATCTTTGGCAAATTTTGAAACAAAATATATCATACTTTTTTAAATTTTTCGGTTACCAAGTTACCCACCAACGAAAAAAAGTTGTAATTGAGGAAGATGATAATAGCCTGAAAGTATTTATCTGAATAACATTTTTTGTTTTTACATAAATAAAAATGATAAAAATAATAATCTTGTAATAATTAAAAAAATATAAATCACATTATAAAATAGCAAAAATGTAATCTATCTTTCTCAACAAAAAAACATAAATCTGCATCAATTATTATTGTTTAAAATATTCATTCTTTATTTCAGAGAGAGAGAGATAAGATAAAGAGATAGGGATGATAATTTCATAAAATGAAAATATGCGGCTCAAAAAAATGAAATAAATTTAAAAGCATTGCCTTCACTAATTTATCATGATATATAATAAAATATATGACGTTATTTTATATCTATCTTCTAATAAGGGTTTGTATTTTAATACGTCACAGATAATTATTTTAAATAGAACCCGGCCCCTAAGTTATCTTTTCGGGTTCGGTCCAGCCCGAGATAAGTTTATAAAACATATGTCGGTATGATCTGCCTTAAAATATGGTCCTAAATCGCTTTCGAAAAAATAAAATATTAAAATCGATAACGAAAAATTGTATGTTTAAATCCTAGAGGAACATATTTTGGGTTTTTAATCCCCACCCCTCGCACACTAAAACAAAAAAGAAGACATTTTAAACGCATTTAAAAAATAAAATAATTTAAATTGTTTTTAATATTTGACTTAATTCGACCTTAAAAATTTTTTAATCAAAATCCGTCCAAATAGTACAAAGAAAATTCTGTTAAACTCGGATCTGGTAGGTTCGCGTAGGTCTCTAATTTGTAATATTCAGTTTAATTGTGAATACATTGGAATTTTTGAAGGGGAAAAAATGTTATGTGAAGATATTGAAGGATATCGCTTTAAAAAATCTTATAAATATTTAAGGAGACCTAGGAATTAAAATAAAATTAATGGCTATTGTACCTTACTTGATCCTAATTTACCTTGCGTTTTTTTTAAATATCAAATTGTCAACTTCATTAAAAATATTTTACATTTTCAAACAGTCAAATGTTTTAAATGAGGTAGAGAGAAGAGTGATAAACAGCTAAATATTTAATTTTGATATTTATATATAATTAGGAATTAATTCGGTAGTTTTTTAAAAGAAAAATTCTTCAATATCATAGATCTTAATTACTAAGTTATCGTGCCATGAAATAGGAAGCCACTCAATTTAAACACAAGATGTAGGTTAAAAAATCGGATATTTTTTTTGAAATTTAAAAGGTATTTCAAAAGCTCATTCAAAAATTATCAAAACTGGAAATTTTAATTTGACAAAAGACCTAATTTTTTAAATAAAAAAAGATTGGTGTGACTACACCACAAGATGATCAAATAAGATTAAATCACAAAATTTTTATAAATATGCAATTAATTCAAATTATTTAATTCCAAGAAGAACTAATAGTATTATAAAAAAAAATTATAATAATAAAAAGAACGCGTTCTAAAATCTTGACCTCGATATGTCTTCATTTTATAATAATTAAGAGAGAACAAAAACTTGATAAACCTGATATGAAAAAATTTGGGTCTTTTTTTTCAATCTTTACTAGAAGGGTCGGATATATGGTGAAGGTGACAAAGACGCAAAAAAATACTCCAAAACATTGTATCCATATCTGTTTTATTTTTAGGAAATATTTTTTGCGAGGATAAATAAGGTTTCCAAATATTAATAAAGAGAGCAAAAAAAAATCAAAGATATAATATTATATATATCCTAATATAACACTACCTTCCAGCTCACCAGTTGAAATATTTTTTTAGTGCACTAGGAAAATGTGTTTATAGATAAATGGGGGATGTCTTAGAGGTTTGAAAAAAACTTTAGAATGTTTTATTATTAAAGCGAACAATATTATTTTATAATCATTTAAATGTAAAATAATTCTCATGAATCTATATTCTCAAAAAGTTTGGGTTAAAAAGAGCAATAGTCAAAAATGATTTATGTCAAAAACTTATGACCGGATGGGCTCTTCTCTTCTCTTCAGCTGATTTAAATTATTATCTATACCGGTGGAGAATCTAGATCCAATATATTTCTATTTTTTAACAATGTTTCCTCTGTTTTTAATAATCTTTAATCTGTGGTCCCAGAAAAAAATCATTATAAACGGGTTTACTATTATAACATTTATATTATAAATCGTTCTATTCGCCGTCGTTACTAGGCCAATTAAGGTGGTTTTCACAATCCTAAAAAAAGAGTTTGGGCAGGACAGATTTGGTCGACAAAAGAACTAGATACCGTGGTTTCTAAATTCAATCTAAATTCAGACGATCACTTTTTATGGAAATATTTTTTGATATAAGGCCCGTTTGACCCTTAGTAACTGTCACCCTCTGTAATAACGTTCTTTTTAGAAAAAGATATTTAAAAAAGATACAACTATAAATCGTTACATGAAAAAAATTATTAATAATACTATTATAATAATATATAAATCAAACCTTTGTGAATACCGAATAATAATCGTTCAATTTGTATTTTCTGCTGGTATCCTGTACATCTCCATCAGTTTGCTCGGACTTTACCAAAGTACGTAGATGGTATCTATAAAATTTCTTATATTATTGATGAGATTTTTTTTGTTTTGTTTTAAATTGAATACAAAATGAGAGAGTGTAAGATTATCAAAAAAAATATAAAAATATAGCGAGAAATAAAAGATATTTTATTTTAGTGGACACCTTGATGGAATTATACTAAAAGTTGGCGAGGCCCGATTCGGTTAGTGGATTGGAAAAGATTTTGATTATTTTTTTATGAGGAAAGACATAAATTATTTATGGGGGCTTTACGAGATTCGGCTGCGCCGACCTCTAGCATAAACCCTAAAAATATTAAACTATCCCAGCCATGAATATGGGTGACAGGGTTCAATAAAATAGACAAAACCAGAATTCTAACCTAAATATGTCATTCCCTCACCCCTGCAATCAGTAGGATCGCGTTAATATTTGCTTTAAATTTTTATACCAAATTTTTTTCCATAAAATTGAAATTTCTCATTTTAAAAAATTAGAAATCTATTTAGATTGCTAAATAAAAATATATCGATTTTCGGGAATCATTTTGTTAAAATACCACGCTTAAAAAATACTTATGAATTGAAATAATGAATATTTATTACAAATGTTAACAATTATTTTCAAGAAAAAAATGAAAATAACAAATATATCTTTCAATTATAATATTACCTTCTTTACAGTAAAAATGAATAATTCAAATTATTCGGAATATTTAATAAATTGTTTTTAAATCTAAGTCATCTCTATTATAACCTGCTAATCTGACAGGTGATGTAATTATAAGAAAGACTAGCATAGATTTAAAAATCTCTGAAGTGGAAATTGAAGGAATATTTAAACTTTTTATTTACCGGTATTTTTTTTGAATCTCATGACAAGTAAATTTTTTTGAATAAAAAATTATACAAATCAAAGGCAAAGGTATAAAACTATAATAGATTTCTTGGCAGATTAATTATGATAGGGGAGAATATTTCTGATGAAATAATTATGCTTGATATTGAAGTTGACAAAATTTCTTCGCAAAAAAGAGCCATTATATGAGATCAATATATCAAATCAAATCAGATAGTGAAAAGGCTGCTTGCAATCAATGCAAGAGCATTATAAAATGTAAAGGCAAAACAACATCCCCTTTTATTAATCATTACATTAGGTCCCGTTCACATCTCAGTAAAATGATTTGTAATAGAATTGACATTTCTTTAAGGCCTAAATCATCAATTTCATTATCTAAAAAATTTAATTTTAAAGATAACTTACTAATGTTATTTATAGAGAATCACCCTATTATTCCGTATAATAAATTTGCAATAAAATTCAAAAATTTTTCAAACCAGCCTAACAAAGCTTCCTTTTTTAGGGCTAACAGCTTTTTTATTGATGAAAATTTTAAATTACTTTCAGGAGAAAATATATTTAGCATTTATTAAGATAATTAAAAATTTAAAATTGATTAAAAATTTAAATTTAGAGAATAAAAATTTTGCAATAATATTGCATAATGCAACTAATGATAAAACTTTTATATTTCTTTATATAATTTATATTTCTTTATTTCTATTCAAATCACAAAATTTCCAATAGTCTTTCAAAGTCAAACATCAAATTAAATAATTTTCATCTCATAAAAGTTTTTTTTGTATTTTTTATAAAACCATAAAAATTCATCTCCTAAAATATATTTATCAAAAGTCAAAAGTAAAAAAGTAAACAAAAAAATACCAAGTGTTTGAATATCAATTCTCGATAAAATGACTAAATAAAATATATTCTTTTTGATTGACATTTTATAATATATATGTACAAAATAATACAAAACTACAACAAAAACCTTTATTGAAATTTACCTTAAAATATCTATTAATAAAAATAGGGTACACCCGATTATTTGCCAATGAAATAAATTTAATTTCCAAAGAAATTCTAAAAATTTTGGATCCTTCTATTTAGTGTTGTTAAACGGCTCAAAACGAGCCGTTTAACAAGACTACTTCTATTTTTAAACTGAATCAAACGTTATCAGAATGATTCATTATTTTCCCAAGACGCTAAATTCATTTTAAAATATATGTGGTTCTCTAAACCCTCCACTAAATGTTTTGAAACTTGATGTAATAAGCGATATTAGAATTTTTTTATTATCACAAGAAATATATCGTACATCATTTTATATCAAAATATTACATTTTGTTTCTTCCTTTTTTATCGTTGTTATCCCCACTATATATAATGCCGTTAGAATCATTATTAAATTAAATTAAATCTTCGGGATATAAAAAGCAATCAAATATTAGTTAAGCCGATTTTTAAAAACGCCTAATTCAATATTTTAGCCAGAAAAATATTGCCTAAGCCTTAAAATTTCGCTAATTGATGTCTAGACCTTTGTGTCATCTATGAGCAAAATCTGCCCGATTTGCGTAATATTATTCTAGATAAAATATTGAGCTAGCCGTTTTTAAAAACACTAAATCGAATGATAATAATGTATCCCTAAGACATAAAATTAAGTATTAAATAATTTTAAATAAAAAAAAGTTAAATCGACAAAGTAAAAGGTTACTTTACGGTAAAAAATTAATTTAAACGTGATATATTAACAAAACTAAAATTAGATTGTGAAATAAGGTGGAATAGCACCTACGTATAATAATTGAAAGAGGCTTATTGTTAAAGCCTATTAAATTAGTAAAAGAAATAATAACATATTCAAATTATTTAAGAAAAACAAATATCAGAGGTAATCAAAATTTTATAATTATGGAATAATAAAATATTTTGTTAACATGTAGGAAGAATGAGAAGATTAGTGTTATTAAACGGCTCGATTTATAAAAACGACTAGCCCAATATTTTTACCAAAAAATATGATGCCAGCCTCAAAATTTTGTTAATAGATGTCCAAACCTTTCTGCCATCTATGAGCAAAATTTCCAGGTTTGCTGAATACTTTTGGCTCCGTTTTTAAAAATCGAGCCGTTTAACAAAACTAGAGAGAATCTTATATAAATTAAAGCTATCCTATTGCTCTTACATAAAACTACAAATAAGGGAGAATTATCCCACGTATAATTTGGTTATTCCTTATTATATTCTAATCTTGAGCACCTAAAAAAAGGAAAACCTGATTTCCATAAATCCTTTAGCAATGGGTTTAAAACAACATAATGATAAATTATTGGGTCATTATAATTTAACTGACGATGATGAAATAATAACCACAATATTAGATTACAGGCTTTAAGTAGAATATTTTAAATCAATATCTGCTAATTATGATATAGAAATAAATATTTTTTTTTAATATGATTTATTATTTAAGAGGATTCGAATATTTCCAGTTATTCGAATCGAATACAAATATTCGATTCTTTAAACGAATCCTAATGCACTATTCGATTTGTTTTTGAATAGGCATAATATACATTATACATACAGCTGATAAAACATTATTTAATATTAATTTTGCCATAAGAAAATATTGTTTTCTTTTCTCTTCCAATAAGCCAAAATTTAATCTTTAATTTTCCTCTAATTATTCAATTGTCACGATCGCAAGAAATTGGAAATACGATTAGACCACTAAAACTTGTTCCTTAATATTGTCACGAGCAAATATTTTAAATGGAAAATTAAAAATATTTAGTTTGTTCCTGTTTTCCGGCAATGAGGATCTTTGTTAAGTTTTTTTTTTAATATTTTGATTTTTTTTTAAAATAAACTTAAATATCACATGTTTTTTAAAATCTAAATCCTATTTTTAATATATTAATGAAAATTGACATTATATTTTAATTCCTCATAAAATATCGATAATTTAATTTATGCGTTATTTATATATTTATACAAATGTAATGTTGCGAATCGCTCTTTTTATAAAGAAATTTACATGTTCTGATTTCTGCCATAGCGGGATTCAATTCCAGGTTCAACTCCCCCAAAAAAAAATCCTTAGGTTCAGAAGTTTTTCTCTGTGAAAAGGAATCGTTAATTAACCCTTTACTACAAAGATGGGTTAATACGACCCCACGACTTTTATAATACAAAATTTAGAAGATATTCTGACCTAATTTTTACAGTAGTTTAACATTTTGCAAGAAGGAAATTTCATGATTATTGATTTGATAGTTTTTCAGATAGTCGCAATTTATTGAGCTTTGAGTAAAATATACGCCACCTATGTAGTAAAATATACTCCACCTATGTACTTTCGTCATTTTTTTTAAATCCAATTTTTTTGTAACTAATTATGATTGTATATAGCAGTTGAATATATAATATTTATTTATTTTTATTTTTGATTGATATGACTTTAAATTTGAAAATTTTATATTATTTATTTTTTCGGTATAGACATTGACCATCATCCAAACAGTGGCCCCTACAACGGGGGGAGGGGGGGGGGGGGGTCCGAAGCAACTGCTTCAGTAAATTTGAGTGGGGGTACTTTTTTTTTTAAAATTTTAAAATTACTTTTTTTAAAAAAAATTTTATTTTAATATTTAAAAATTTTTTTTTTATTGTTTTGCTACATCCATCCATAACCAATTGATTTCTGGTTTATGTATGTAATAATAAGACCCCCCCCCCCACTTATTTATTAATTTAATATGTATTGACGGAAATTTTAGATCGATGTTTAGTAAATTAGGTTGTTATCCGAGATTTCTTGCCATAAATTATTTTTCCAATTTCAAAATATGCCTAAAAATATTAACCAAAAATAATAAAATGTGTTAGAAAAAAATATAATATCTGACTCTTTTAATGATCATAAAATTTAATAGTGATATTATTGTCCATGAACACAGACAAATATGATGGCCGATTATAAAGCTTTCACAACAAAAATTCGATATTACAATTTATAATACCCCAGAAAGAATGTGTAAATAATAACCGTTCTATCATAAGAATATTAATAAGATGTCTAGGTTATTTAATATCTCGTAACCAAGCCTTCTGGGGAACAGGCTACAAGAAGGCAATATGACGGGCCTTATTAAACTCATTGCAGATTCTGAACCTGT